TCTGCCACGTTTTTGTTCTACCGTTAATCAGATTGCTTTCTCAAATCGGACGCAGTAACAGGACGACGGGCGTAATCTCGTGGATTTCGAACTGAGCTTCAATATCGTCCTCGGCTCTCTACGCCAGTGCCTAAGCCTACCCAATGCTGAAACGTTTACCCGGGGCGGATTGTATTGTAGGGAAAGAGAGGAAGAGAGAGAGAGAGAGAATACGCACTGACGGACGGACAGAGGGAGAGAGAGAGAGAGAGAGAGCAACAGTCGAAGGGATACGAAGGTTCTCCCTTGTGCAGTGGGGTTTCGCGGACCGCTCCCTGAACCCAGGCGGTCGGTCGGACGTCGAATTAACCCCAGAAAAATGTGTACGTGCCCGCACACCATCGACGTACATACGAACAGCATCGCCAAAGTGTCGGTTACGATTTGCTCGATGGTTTTATTTCAGAAAATTGCCGATGATTTTTCGACGCGATTGCGCCTTGCGCCTTGCGACACAACCACACGTACGCAACGCGGCAGCTTAATGTTTTTTTCGAAGCAAGGCAAACACGAAAGAAAGGTTGCGTATCCACCGGTTGAGAGACAGACAGTACGCACGTACGTACACACGCACATTTTGCAAATTGCGTAAACCGTGCGTACGCGACTCAACGTCGTATTTTATCAGCGGGAAAATAGACGTGTTGGCAAAAGCGGTTTTCGTAATGGTCGAACAGCTTACCGAGAGATCGATAGCAGCGGAGATTCATTAAAGATACGCGCCTACAGAGGCTTTCACATGGCATGAAGGATCGCTCCCTACAGTCTCCTCCTCTCGCTTTGGATCTGATATTAGACGACGCACATACACGATAGGGCCTCCTCCAAACCAGCTGTTCCATCGTCGAGTCAACCTGACCAGTGCGTCTGCCACTCAAATTCGATGAGATCGAGCATTTTCAACTACCAAGTAGTAATCTTTTCTTGGAAATTTCATAGATTCACAACGACGGATCTTTAGTGGTGAATGATTTTCTGCGATACATATGAATAAAAATTTGTGCTCTTTACTGTGTTTTTTCTACTCTTTGCACTTTAATTTTTTTTTTTTGAACTACATACTATCTTTCGATGTATACGGTTACGTATATTGAAAGTGTTCCGACGAATGAAACATCTGAAGATCGAGACGCTCGTAAAAATTTTTACTGTCTTGACACGTTCGTCAAAACACGTATCAACGTGTGTAGGGGCCTTTATTGTTAAGTATGCCAACTGTTTGCCGCAACTCATTCTTACAAATGTTAATACGCACATAACTGAAACCGACTGTATTTCACACGAACGTTATACTTTCGACTTGTTCTAACTTGCCCGTCTCGCAAACTGCAGACAATATTTACGTTTTCGTTTCTCTCTTTGAGAAATCTCGGTAATGACATTCAACGCGTTACATTCACGTTCAAGAATACTGATATATAACAATCTACGCATTCTCTCTACTTTACGATACATGATATAAGATGCTACGGCCAATTTACCTTTAAATATTCTTCTTTCAATTTTTATTCTTAAATAATAATCATCGTATAAATAAGAAATCCTTAATTCTTAAATAACAGTACACACTTCAGGAATCATTTTGCTAATTGAGGTGAAATTGTAGTACTAAATTTTAAGTCTTCTCTTGTTGCTGACTGCATCTCTCACGATTGTATTTCGTTTTTCAATCCTTGGGCGAATTTCATTCAACAGATAATAAAAAGAAGAGTCATCCATACGCAGATGATTTCTACAATCACTAGATTCATTCGTCCTCAGCTCCTCTTTTAATAACGCAGAATTCTGTTCTCTGGATCAGCCATCATAACCATCATAAGAAAATCTGTTCCCCTGGATTAACCATCTTTTTGCCCATTTAATTCCTTATTTTTTTATAATTAACGTACCTCCTCATTGTTGACAGTAATATTGAAGCTAGAAGATGAAATTTTGAAACACGTGCTTTACACGTTGGCGTCGCACGAAAAACTGAAGAAAAGCAAAGAAGTAGGAGCAAACTGCAATGCAGACTTCGTGAAACCTAGAATCGTCACCATGTTTCAACGAGTGTTGAAAATGTGCACGCCGATGAAATAGAAATTTCTATCCGACGAGTGAGTTGGCAGAAAGAATAAAAAAAAAAAAAAA